TATAGTGACTGTGATATCATAATAGTATCTACCATTGGGTGGAACTAATCTCAGCTCTAGATATGAATATTGTGAACACATGCATGTAAATGTAATGTACATATTTTTAAATGGAACTTCCACCCACTACTGCAGTGAATCATTATATGTGCTTTGTTAAAGGTTAGTTAGTGTAGTGTTTGTACTGTAGACAAGATTCTGTCAACATTTCCAAGATGTCTTTCCTTTTATGGAAGTATATTTGGACTCTATTCAGGAAATATCAATATACACTGACTACTTGTGACAGGAACTGCTTCCTTAGTCACCAGCATTGTGCTAAATAGCATCCATTAATATAAAAGCAAGAATCAACTTGAAACAATCAACAAATGCCTAACTGTAGAATTGACTTATTAATTACAATACCCTCAAACATGTGACTCCATCATGGTAGAATAAAACAGCATTCTACTTATAAACTATAATTTAACTATAATGAAGTAGCTAATATACAGTACAGAAAGAATGGCGTAATAACTGTTTAAGAATTATATAGTTCTTGTATACATTCCAGCAGATTAAGCATTGCACACTAAAAAAGCAACTACTAATAATTTTATAAGTTTATTCTAATGTAACAATGTAACTATAGTTTTAATTAATTTGAAATCCTGGCATACCATTAAGGCTCTTTTGTTGTTGATCCTATATTAATATCAATTTATTATTATCAGTAATTAATTATATATATAATCTCACTTATATAATCAGCAACTGTTGTATCTCCTACTTCACCTACAGCAATAGCTAGTTTGTCCCATGTTGCTTCAATATCTTCTTTTAGCCACTTCGCTAAACATTCTCTGAGACATCGCTCAGCATTTCGTGGATAGTTATCCTCAATAATCTTTAGATCATCATGAATCAGACCCAAGTAGAGACCAAGATCAAACCATTTTGTAGTTTGAAAATGACCATCTTTTAGCACTCGTAATATCTCTACGAGATCCCTGATAGTCAATATGACTATTATATATAAATAAATTGTTTAAAACTCGTGATTGTGAGTGCTCTTATACCTTTTTGTTGACTATCATTGGATTCACTGATCTGTGTGGGTGAGTGAATTATAGCTGATTCAACCTTTTGAATTACTGGCTCTATATAAAATAAGATACATGCATTACGGTATATTATGGTAATTAATGGTCTATATATTGGTATGTAAGTGTATAATTACATAACTTACTAATATCATCGTTAATCTCTTCCAAATGTGGTGTCTGAACAGTAAAATAAAAGTTTTAATATTAAAATTATTATTATTTTATACCTCTTGGTGTTTTTCTTGCAACAATTTTCCTTTAAACCACATCGACTCATTAATGGTTAGGGGGCGAGGAATTCTTTCCATCTTGCAGTAAACAAGATCAGAGCATGTCTGCTTCATAGCATCAATGTCATTAATGTAATGGACTTCACTGGAAGGACTGCATTGACAAACATAATGTATTCTTCTTGACGATTTTTGATAAGCATGAGGACCAAGGAGCAGGTAAGGGTAATGACCATGGTAAATATCGAGGGTGTCTTCTACTTTTTGGCAACATTCATTTAGTAACTTCAATATTTGCTGACAAACTGCTTTGAAAGGAACAGGATTACTACTCTCAGGTACATATCGAAACACATCAACTTGAATAGCTGTATTAACATCAGTGAGAACAAAATCATCAGAAGGACGACCATAAGAGAAGCAAACACGATTACGATAGATACATTTCGAATGAATGTCAGGTGCTGCATAATCTTTATCAAAATTGACCTTAACATTGGCATCAGTAGCAACAGCAGTTGCTAAACGAGTGAAGAAGCCAGGAGGTACATACCCAGTGGTGAATGTAATGTGTACAGGTGAGGCTCTTAGCTTATAACCAGGTCGTACTTCATTAGGATCACCTGTGTATCCTTGTAGCACTGCTGGAAGAAAATATTGCTTGGATGTGCTATCATAATGCTCAGTTTGGACTGGAGCTGCAAGACGAAAATGAACTAAAAGTTCAATTATGTCTTCTGGATCAATACCACTTGACTGCCATATTTCTTGATAAAGTGGTTGAACAAGAATACCTTTATTTCGCAACAAATACCACTTTTTTCCTCCACTCCATTCTTTCTCGAGTGGGAACACCTTCCCAATGGTATCAACAAACCATTTTGGGCTAAGAATGACTTTTTTAGTCAGACTTTTTATTTTGGGATAGGAAAGCAGAACTCCCAGCTCATGGTAGAATTTTAATACTACAGGAACCTCTCCTGCTGGTATGTGACATGCTTCCCCAATGGCAATGGCTTCAGATAAACTAATGACATTCTGCTTCAGCTCCTGAAGAACTTTGCGAAAAAGAAACCAATTAACAGGGGTTTTGACAGTTAATTTATTGATAAAACTATCAATTGCTCCTCGTAGCAATGTAATATTTGGATCTTCTCTTTCTCCTTTGCCTGAGGTCGTATTATCAATGATTAGCACATCTTTGATAAGATCTGAGAACTCTTTCTCCTCATACAGAGACTGGATTTGCTTCTTTGCTTCTTTCTTTTCTGCTTCATCTAGCATGTCACCACGAGTGCCAATGCAATAGAGACTAGGAGAAGAAGTATCATCTATATTGTGCTTGATCACAAAGTAGCTGCTTCTTGAATCATCTTTTTTGTGCTTTACAAGGTAACTATGTATTGTAGACATCCATTTGGCCATTAGATCACTCGTGCTTTCATTCACTACCTCACCAAACAGCACTTTACCATCAGGAGTATTCTGACGTGACTGCCATCTTTCCTTGAAATCCTTTGAAGCATCAAATAGGAGGAGAAACATTGTACGAGGAGTGAGGAAGGCTGGGAGAATCTCAAGGAACACTGGCTGACCACCACAATCCCATATATGAAGAAATGGCTAAATATGAATATAATATGTAAATAGTGCTATTTTAAGTACTTGTGTAGCTATGACTCACTTGAACATGCGATTCTGTTGTCTGATATGTACGAACTCTTTTAAGCAATGATTTGATTTTTGCACCTAAATCTAAAGGCTTGGAACTACTTTTTGCAGGACATACATCAAGTGAATCAGATACTAAACTTGATTCAGCTGCAACACGACAAGATGATTTAGATAGGCTGGATTTAAACAAACGAGCCAGCTCCTTCATTTCATCTTCTTCTGTGGCTTCACTCCATCTGTTTCCTCTCATTTGCCATTCATGTCCAAATGGTCGTACAGAGGATACATCAGATACAATGGTGCTTGTAGTATGAAGATTGAAAGGTTCTTCCATTAATGAACGCTTGAGAGACGTCTTGCCAGTACCAGCTGATCCCAGTAACATAAGACGAGCATACGCTACATCAGCACTTCCTTGTTCTCTGAGAGCTCTCTGATATCTTTGATATGGACCTAAGCAATAAATATAAGAATTAGTGAATGCTAGAAATGAATGTGTTGTATGTGTTCTACTGGTAATTGGCAGTACTGTGAAAAAAATATAAACTCTGCCATTTTCTCCATGCTCAATCTTGTAAAATGTAAAAAATAATTTAATTAAATTAATATTAATAATATTTACTTACTTAAATACTACAAGACAGCAATAGCATCAGGATTTGTTGAATAAAAATTTAGCTATTCAATTGCATCATGTACTTACTAGCTGAAAAGCACCACAATGATTAACCTAGAAAATAGAAATTGCATATTTTACATGTGAAACAGCTTGCCATCTAAAATATTGTGAATACCGTAAGCGTCTTAATTTTCGAGGTGTATTAAATCTTATTATTTTCGTGCTCACCTTAAATCCACAAAATTTAAACCACCTCTAATGCCATTCTATTGTATGTAGACTATGGCCAGAACACGAAAATTAGCTCACACAAATATTAACTTTTGAGCAAATTTTATTTGAAAACACGAAATTTTGAACCCTCGAAAATTTGAACGCATATGGTAACATAGTTAAATAAAGTACATGTAATCATATAAAAAAGAGTAAAATTACATTCACATGTGACATGACTTCTTCCTGAAAGATTGTGAATAACACAGTTTAGTAAAGTATCACAATGGTATCATAGAAGAAAAGAATAAAATTACACATTCATAAGTGATGTGACTTACGTCCTGAAAGATTGTGAATAACACATTTTAGTAATGTATCATAGTTGTATCATAGAAGAAAAGAATATAATTAAACATTCACATGTGAAGTGACTTACTTCCTGAAAGTTTCTGACTATAACACAGTTTAGTAAAGGTTCACGCTGGAAAGGAATAAAATTATACATTCACATGTGAAGTGACTTACTCTCTGAAAGTTTGTGAATATAACACAGTTTAGTAAAATAACACAATAAAAAAGAATAAAATTACACATTCACATGTGGCATGACTTACATGTATTCTCTGAAAAATCATGAATAACACCGTTTAGTAAATAATATCATAGAAGAAAACAATAAAATTACCCATTCACATCTGTGGTATGACTTACAATCTAAAAGATTGTGAATAACACAGTTTATTAAAGTATCACAATGGTATCATAGAAGAAAAGATTAAACATTTACATATGAATTGACTTACTCTCTGAAAAATTTGAATTACATAGTTTACAGAAAATGGTATCAAATAGACATAATATTCACATGTGACATGACTTACTCTCTACAATATTTGAATGTTTCAATTTAGCAATTTAAAAATAAATTACACAATTTCTTGTGACATGACTTACTAGCTAAAAGATGTATCACATGGTATCACAGAAGAAAAAAGTAACGTTAAATAATTATTCACATGTGGCATGACTTACATCCTGAGACATAAATGACTAACACAGTTTATATGAATTAACATAGAAGAACAGAATATAATTAAACATTTGTATGTGAGATGACTTACATCCTAAATAATTAAGTTAATGGTATCATAAAAATTAGAAAAAAAAACAAATTTGCAAGTGGCATATGACTTACTTCCTGAAAGATTGTGAATAACACAGTTTAGTAAAGTATCACAATGGTATCGATCATAGAAGAAAAAATTTACACAATCACATGTGACTTGACTTACATCCTGAAAGATAGTGAATAACACAGTTTAGTAAAGTATCACAATGGTATCATAGAAGAAAAGAATAAAATTACACATTCACATGTGCCATGACTTACTTCCTAAAAGATTGTGAATACCACAGTTTTGAATGGCCGGTATCACAATGGTATCATAGAATAAAAAACTAAATTACACATTCATATATGATGTGACTTACATCCTGAAAGATTGTGAATAATACAGTTTAGTAAAGTATCACAATGGTATCATTGAAGAAAAGAGTAAAATTATGCATTCAAATGACATGTGACTTACCCACTAAAAATTGTGAATATAGGTATAACACAATTTAGTAAAGTATCATAAAGAATTACACATTCACAGTATCATAGAAAAAAGAATTAATTAATAAAATGACATGTACACTCATAAATATGTAATGTGACTCACATCCTCAAAGATCACAGTTGTAAATAACACAGTTAGTAAGTATCACAATGGTATCATACCAGAAGAAATAAAAATTACACATTCACAAATGACATAACTTACAAATAGCTGAAAGATTGTAAATAACACAGTTTAGTAAAGTATCATAATGGTATCATAGAAGAAAAGTATAAATTACACATTCATATGTGACATGACTTACATCCTGAAAGATTATGAATAACACAGTTTAGTAAAGTATTACAATGATATCATAAAAGAAATGAATTAAATCACACATTCAGATGTGATATGACTTACTTCCTAAAGGATTGTGAATACCACAGTTTAGAATGGTATCACAACAATATCATAGAAAAAAGAATAAAATTACACATTCACATGTGTCGTGACTTACAAACTGAAAATTAAGAATAACACAGTTTAGTAAAGTATCATAATGGTATCCGCATAAAGAAAAGAATAAAATTACACATTCACACTGACATGACATGACTTACTGGCTGACAGAATGTGAATAACACAGTTTATAAAGTATCACAATGGCATAGAAGAAGAGAATAGAAGTACACATTCACATGTGATTTGACTTACTGCCATCTTATGAAAATATGAACCTGTGATACAATGAGAATAATGAAACCTAAAAAATACCAATAGCCATTAGCAAATTGCAGGTCAAAAAGATCATGAAATTGGAAAATAGTCTTATCATTCAATTGATTGCAATTTGCATGAAATTATAATCAAAGAACATATTCATATTCCATCAAAACTGCATATAGATACAGTTTTGATGGAATATGAATATGTTTTTGATTATAATTTCATTGCTAACCTGTAATTTGCTATTGCAAATCTTGTGATTAATACCTATCTTATGGTAGCATGGTATCTACCCAGAGGAGGTTAAACAAATTCACTGAATTAACTTCACGTTAATCTTATTACATAATACAGCAATTATATTAGCTGCTCATTTCATACACATCAAAATTGACCATTTTATTTGGCAACTTTGTTATGAAAGTCAGTGGAGGCACATAGAAACTGCCTTACTTACCTGGGGTAGCTCAATCAAAAGCTAAAAAGTACTTGCATAAGATAAAAATAGCTGCCTTTAAGCTCCTTCTGTAAAAGATTTGGTCCAATTCGCTCCAGAATTCTTAATACAGGTTTGTTTTTTATGTCGGCCCGTTTGTTCTCCATTGAAAGCTGCCAACCAAAATGGTGGGCAAAATTTATTTCATCTTAAACCATGCCTTATGACTGTAAATATGCCTAATAAGGCTTTGCTATGCAATCATGCAATTCTTGCCTGGGTGGTTTATACATGACATAGGCGGCTGCAGGCCTAAGCATTGGGGGTCATTACCTAGGCTAAAAATTAGACCGGAAGCAGAAACAATGCTATCTTAAGCCTATTTAACCCTTTTACCACACCTCTTTAATTAGAATTGCCTAGGCTGAGTTGGACCTCTGTAGCCGCCAAAGATATAGGAGTATAATCTACGAATTCAGTTGCTATTTTCAAACTGTTAGAAGAAAGATCTCGCATAGCCAACTGAACTCCTTCCCTTTTTGACATTTGGATGTCCAAATGTCAAAAAGAGGAGCACGGTCTGGCCGGCTATGTGAGACCATAGATATTAGAGTAAAGATACTATTAAGTATAGATATTATTTATTTACTCTACTATCTATGGTGAGACTAGAAAGAACCTATGTACCTCTTCCTTTTTTAGCGGAGCAGACTGCAGTGGATCGGACAACAATTATTTTCATAAATGAAGTGACTAAAGTGGCATTAAATAAACATGTAAGCTTACCTTCTCTTTGTGTCTCTAAATCCAGCTATCCAAAAGGTGAACTCATGAACTGATTATGAGACCCACCTTGCAAGTTACTTTGAGAGTCAATATGGTCTCACCTCACCCTGATCCTATGCCTAGGCCTTATTATTTCCGAGATTATTTCAAACTTCAAAGTCACTCTAATATCTACATGTATGTCAAAGTCAATTTTAGTCAAACCAGTGAAACCACACCTTCTTGACAAAAAAATGAAAAATCGTCAAATTTATCGAATTGTCATGATAATGTCATCTAAGTATCTAACACGTGGTCACATGTGTTTATAATGATGGACAGTATTTTAAAAGGGTATGCTGAGTGTAATGGAGACACACATTGACTTTGAGAGACTATTAGAAGAAGTAAATAATCCAAACACTATCTCTTTATATATCACTATCAGTTAGGATCAGAATCAACCAATCTACCTGATACCATATATCACAAGGTACCCAGTCACGTGACACTACTCACTGATCACGTGATCACAGGTTGGTCTGATGGTTTGAGACGAGCAATAGATTATCAAGCAATGAGTCTGTCTCAGTCTCCGGAGACGTTTGGTACATGGCTACTGATTAATAAACTAAAAGAAACAAATGATGTAATACTGATGTAATTAATGTATTATTAATATTGTTACTATTATTAGGATAAGGTGATTGATGGGGTAATTAGTGTGGGTGTGGTTTTACAAAATTTGATGTATATTAATCATCAAAATTTAATCCAATTAATAATCAAAGTAATAATAATAATTAATATTATTTTTACTTTTTTCTCTTAGTATATTTCGTTTATTAGTTTATACAGTATATTTAAATTACATACAGCTGGACTAGTATTAATACATGAAATATTGTCCAAGTAATATTATGGATAATTAATAATATACTCCTCTCTCTCTCTCTCTCTCTCTCTCTCTCTCTCTCTCTCTCTCTCTCTCTCTCTCTCTCTCTCTCTCTCTCTCTCTCCCCCCTCCCTCTCTCTCTCTCTCTCTCAGATACTGATGTTGATGATGGAGGCCCGACAGTCTCTGGTAACAACAATGATCCAATTACCAACGGCTTCCCGACAAATGGTATGTATTTTTAATTAAATTCACACGTACATACATGCGCATTATTATACATAATTCTACAAAGCACATACACACACACTTCTACATCTTATAAAAGGCATGTATGTACATGTACGTACATTATTCCAGCATTATACAGTATGTGTTATATATTGGTGATATTTTGCATACCACTGAATTCCTCCTACTTGGTAATTTTGTGTGGCAGAGGGAGAAATGTTGTTTTAGGGTTTAGATATGTCTCCTCCTTGATTAATTAGTGATATGCATTGTTGTATATTTTGTCTGTTTTTTCGTGTGTA